GCTAAGAAAATACAACATGAGGTTTAATCCATCAAAGTGTGCTTTTGGAGTCACCTCAAGCAAGCTCTTGGGATATGTCATAAGCTCTAGAGCAATAGAGATAGACCCAACCAAGATCAAGGCGATCATGTCAATGCCACCGCCCAAAACCGAGAAACAAATTCGAGGGTTTATTGGCCGGTTGTAATATATAAGTAGGTTCATATCGAAATTAACAACGATATGATAATCTATATTCAAGAAGCTCAAAAAGAATGTACCAGTAATATGGGATGATGAGTGTCAAAAATCCTTTGAAAAGATCAAAGCCTATCTCGCAAATCCTTCCGTATTAGCACCAGTACTTCCAGGAATACCTCTTAGGTTGTACTTAACAATCACCGAAGAGACAATGGGAGCTATGTTTGCACAAGAAGTAGAAGGTAAAGAAAATGCAATCTACTATCTAAGCAAAAAGATGCTCGAGTATGAAATACGCTACACACCGCTTGAAAAATTGTGCCTCGCATTGGTGTGGGCCACAACCAAGCTAAGACATTACATGCTCGTGAATACAGTCTTTGTAGTTTCCCGAATGGATCCACTTAAGTATCTATTTGAGAAGTCTACACTCGGCGCATATCAAGGTGGATAGTCAACTTAACCCAGTTCAATGTGAGATTCATGCCTCAAAAGGCTATCAAAGGATCTGTGGTCTCGGATTTCTTACCGATTTTCCAATAGAAGATTCAACGCCAATACATGACAATGAATTTCCAGACAAAGTCTTGATGGTCACGGAAGATGATACTTGGACTTTATACTTCGATGGAGCCTCAGACCAAAAGGGATGTGGCGTTGGAGTATTATTAGTATCACCTAAAGAAGAGCACGTTCCAATCTCCATAAATCTAGATTTCGACGTTACCAGCAACGCTGCTGAATACGAAGCATGCGTGGTAGGCCTTGAAACAACTTTAGCATTGGGAGTAAAGAAATTACGAATATTCGGAGATTCTTCATTGATTATCAATCAGATTTCTAAAAGATGCAAAGTAAGGAGTGAAAGCCTAGCCCCTTACCAGACTTATCTGGAAACTCTCACTAATTAGTTAGAAAAGGTGGAATACACTTATCTACCTAGAGAGGAAAACCAATTTGCTGATGCTTTGGCAAGACTAGCCTTAATGGTTAGGATTCCTACGGAAATCGAGCAAATGCCTCTAACTATAGAAAAAAGGCACAAACCGACTTATATTCAAGCCATAGATGATGATGAAGTGGTCTAAGATGAAGATGAGGAAGAAGAAGAACCGTGGTATACAGATATACTTAATTACGTCACCAAAGGAGAATATCCTCTTCATGCTGACAAAAGAGCAAAACGAGCATTAAGACTCTTAGCTTCCCAATACGTACTCATAGACAACGAGTTACATAAAAGGGTACCTAAGGGCCATGCTCTCTTATGTGTAGGAAAAAAGGATGCCCAAAGAGCTATGAGGATAGTCCACGAAGGCATTTTTGGAACCCATGTTAATGGAAAAATGCTAGTCCAAAAGATAATGCGAGAAGGGTACTATTGGACTACCATGAATAAGGATTGTCATAAATATGTAAAAATATGCCCTAAATGCCAAATTTATGCTAATTTACAACATGTTCCTCCATCTCTACTTTACACCTACACTTCACCATGTCCATTCTCTACATGGGGAATTGATATTATTGGCAAAATTACCCCTCTTAAGACAGGAGGTCACGAATACATCCTAGTAGCAATTGATTACTTCACAAAGTGGGTTGAAGCACAATCATATGCTAAACTCACTGCAAAACATGTAGCACTCTTTATCTAAAGAAATATCATTTGTAGATACGGGGTCCACATGAAATGATAAGTGACAATGAAACTCACTTTCAAGCTGAATGTGAAGAGTTATTACAAAATATGGCATTCAACACCATCATTCTTCCCCTTATAGACCTCAAGCAAATGGAGTAGTTGAGGCAGCTAATAAAAATCTAAAGACTATTATCGAGAAAATGACAGAGAATTACAAGGATTGGCCTAACAAACTCCATATCGCACTTTGGGGCTATCACACGTCAATTCGCACATCAACAGGAAATACGCCATTCTCCTTGGTTTATGGAATGGATGTCGTACAACCTGTAGAGCTAGAGATACCCTCTCTACGCATTGCATTCGAAAGTAAACTCGATGAAGTCGAATGGACTAGAACAAGGTATGAAGAGCTAATTCTACTTGATGAAAAGCGACTAGAAGCTCTACATCATACCCAATGCTATCAAACTCGTATGGATAGGCATTTTAATAAGAAGGTCAAGACAAGAAACATCAAAGTAGGAGACTTGGTGATAAAAGCATTAAGGAAAAATGTTTTGGATCCAAGAGGCAAATTTAGGCCTAGTTGGTCCGGACCCTATATTGTCAAAACAATCCTATCAAGAGGTGCAGCAAAACTAACTGATATGGATGGCAATGAGTTCTCAAACATGACAAATCTTGACCAACTTAAAAAATACTACCCATAATTACTTGAGTAGGATACTCAAGAGAGCTACGTTTGGCCTGATTCCTTAAGAAAGGGTACGTAGGCAACCCTTTACGGGTGCGGCCACTTTAATTCTCGCAAACCTCGCATCCTAGAAATAAAAAGAAAATCGACAGAAATTCAACGGAACAGTAGCGTCACAAAAAGAAGTTTGTAGCCCACCGACACACTGCAGCGCAAGGCGACAGTACATGTCGCCGGACGCCAGATGGCAATGGCCGGTGACAGCCTCGAAATGGCGGCGCCGCTTTTCTAGAAGTACCTGGGTAAATTTCGGTGTTTTTCGGAAAAATTTCGACTTTTGTACTCGAAAAAATTCTTGAAAATAAAATTTTCTGTTTTTATTTCTTTAATAAGTTAAATTTATAGAAGTTGATTTAATTAAAAGGATGAAACTTCATTAATAAAAAAAATTACATTATTGATGGAATTTAAATAAGAGCTTAATAAAACACATTAACTTTAAATTTAAAACTAAGTCTAATAAATTGGAAGTTAAGCAATGCTTCAATCTTTCTTCTCTTTCTTTTCTCTTTTCCAATTTTTATCTGCATCCTCTTCATCGTCCATGACTTTAGCTAGTAGGCATCCTTTATAGGACCTACATTCAATTTTAGAGTAAATGGTTTCTCCCTTAGCTAGGACTCCATGTTTCTTCTCTATCCAAACCTTCTTCTCTGGAGTGTCAGCTTTTCTTTTCCCTTTATCCTTTGTAGAGTCTTTCTTCTTAGGCATCATAGGTGTTTTGAATTCAATCTTTTCACGCAAGCGTTCCTTAACAAATCACCTTGTCACCCAGACGATTCTTCACATTGGTTTTACTCTGATTTTTCTTCATGTCCTTTGAAGGTTTCTTAAGAAGCCACCTAGATCTTTACATCATTGGGCAAAGAAGGGGGAACCTTTTGGGTAATCACTTCTCATAAAGGTCTAGCGCTCCAATATGCATCAAACTTCTCTACTTCTTGTGAAATAGGGAATTCATAGGGATGACCGAAGATCCCCAGAAGGAATTGTTTGAAGTAGGCCGTACTGTCTTTTTACCCTACAGGGATAATAAAAAGTCATTTTGGTTAAGCTTGGAAGACGGCAGAAAGGTTGCTTGTTGACACCAACCATCGTCTCTATTTTCCACCAAGGGATGACCCACTTGATAGCAAAATTGCAAGAGACAAAGTGTTAGAATCCAACTCCTTTTGATGTATTAGATTCCATTTAAGTGCTTTCCTAGAGTTTAGGTTTGTTTTCTTAGCTTGAGGTCCCATTATTGTGTTACTGTCAGATCAGTGTTCACTAGGGATTCTCCTTGTATGTCATTTAAAGCTCTTTAGAGGGCGAATGATTAATGAAATCTTAAAACCTTCTACCAAGTGTTGCCTGGCTTTTATGCTTGTTTGTTGTTAGACCTTTATAGATATTGTGTCTTACTTGCATATTAGCTCCCCTCCAACCCAACTTGATGCGCTAAGGACTCGTGGTTCGGACCCGCTTGTGCCCGCTTTGAAGTATCGGCCGTCACAAGCCCCGACCACCCGCACTCCGTCGCCCAGATAGACGTGAGTCCTCCTGAGATTCTATTGCCCGCTTGTGTTGCTTTGTGCTCACAAGCCCCTCTTCCGCTCAAGGCTAGCGTTCTTGCCGCCAAAAGGCTAGAGCGCGCCGCACGTTTCGGGGTCCAAACTCCCGGACCGTGACACAAAGCCTTTTATTCCATCAATGGTGCCCCATCTTAGAGAAGCGTTTGTTTCGGCTCACAAAGCAATTCGGAGTATATTTTTCAACATTGTCAAGAGGACTAATTAATTCTAGTCTCTCCATTAGCCACATCAGTAAAAATTCAATGCAAATAAATTAATATTACTATACAAAAATATGTTTTTTATTTCTGTAATTAAAAATATTATTTTTCTACTTGTAATAAAATTGGAGAGCCCCGAAAAGGTGCTTTTGGATTTCTCTTCAATTCATCAAGACTAAGCATAGTTTCTCCAACAATTAATGGCATTGGATTTATTCCAGATTCAATCTGCTCCAAAATAGTTAATATAATTGCTTGACCCTCATTAATTCTACCACTAGTGAGAATATATTGGTTAATCATGCAAAAGAGAAAAGCCCTTCTTCCACTAGTAGAAAAACGTAAAAGAGCACCAGTTCAAAACCCCCCAATAGCACCGGTTTTGAACCGGTGTTCATGTTAGGGATGCCAAAAAGTGAGAGTTTTTGCCACTGGTTCACATCCGGTGGAAATAACACAGTTATTAGCACCGGTTCAGTTCAGAACCGGTGCTAATAATAAAGTTTATAGCACCAGTTCGGTTCAGAACTGGTGCCCTTTATGCCCCAAAAAAAAATGATTTTTTATTTTTGCATTTTTTTACTTATATTGATATATAAACACTTACATATATATAAACTTATAATTTTTATTAATATAAAGCTGTAACATTACAATTTTAATTCAAAAAAAAAAAAAAAAAGAATATAGTTTTATATTGTAATAGACCGACTGTAATAATATTACAACAGTAGCGTAGAGCAGATTGGCAGCAGTGGCGTAGAGCATAGCAGCAGCATCTGCAGGAGCATAGAAGCAGTAGTGTAGACCAGAAGAACAGCAAGAGCATAGAAGCATGCAACAGCTGTGATGCGAGGCAGCAGCCTTGCGAGCCAGTAGCTGCAGAGCAGCAGTAGCAGCCTTGCGAGGCAGAAGCTGTAGTGGTTTCACAGACAGAGAATAAGGCATATACCCTTGTTTTGAACAAGACATAAGCTATCTCTTTTTCAAGACTTGTGTGTCGGTCCACAATCACAAAAACAGCCTCAACTGAAACAATATGATTATAAGTCAATACAATTAGTTTCAATTTAGCAAATGTAAGGTGAAAAGAATATAGGTGCATTAATGGTTAGCAGTATTCAATGAAATATCAAACAGATATATCATCTAAGTTGCATTAATGGTTAGCCAGGTTCCAACAATCCCACAATGCTAATTGACACATATGACATGTACAAAAAATGGCAACGCAAAACCTCCAACAGACTCAAAATCCAGAGAAATAAAACAGGGATGACATCTTACTTTATCAAGAGGGATTGCCTTTGACTTGTAAACATTTAGATCCAACTCATAGCATGTCATGTCAGCAATAATGCCTCTTGCTTTGAAAACTTCAGGAAACTTCCCACTGTATCTTCCTGATATTGTCAATGGGCTTTGTGATGAAAGATCTGGAACATTGATTAGGTGCACCTGATAGTTTGATTGCAAACAAATGCAATGGCATTCAGTAGACTAATAAGCATGTTATCAACTGGGTCATAAAAAACATGACATCTTACAGCTAGTCCAACAAATTTGCAGCTATCACACTAGCTCATTTAGTGTAAATGTTAGCAGAAAAGATTAAATAAAAGAGCTTTTACCCTGGTATTACAGCACCTGACCTATCAAATACAATGGTTTCAAAGACATGCATAACTGGACCTTTGGGAGACATAAACAAGTCTAACACCAAATTAGTCAAACTCAGGTACATAAAGCAATGTTAAAGCTATAATGCTTATAATTTTAGAAATGAGTGTCAAACTCCGGACTGGACTCAAGAATGTGACACAAAGTTTCAATTCATTGATACACCTAATGCATACTTTCCTTTGTTACTCCATAGTTGAGCATGAATGAATCTGTTCAGAACATTATTGCCAAACTTATCAGTTTCATTATCCCTTTTATCTCTACATTTTAATTAAAGGAACAGAACTCCATGTTCTAGTATACTGAATGTCTGAGATATATAGTGATAAAGACGTTATTTGAGACCAAATATAACCCTTTGGCCTTTCCACAACTTGATATCAAAGCTATGCATATATATAAGTTAGCACATAACTAAAGAATAGAAAAAGATATGAACTCATTTTTTTGTAAGTCTCGAAGCTTACCATAAAAAACAGTCTATAGTGGGGAGCCTATATAATTAGATATGAGCAATATGATACAAACAGGCTCTGAAGTCCACAAATAAGAAGATGAGACTAACCCCTTAATTAGCAAGGAAATCATTACGTTACGGAGTTCACCTGCATTAGCATCTTCAAATTTGTCAAAATCGCAGCTTGAACCCCTTAATTAGCAAGGAAATCACCCTGATCAAGCCTGAGACAGCAGAGAGCTTTATTAAAAACTAAATGTTAAAATTTCAATATAATAAAAATCTTAGTTTGGTACACTGCCGGAAAGTCTGCTTATAATCATAAATAATCATTTTTACGGAAAGGAGAAATCAAGGCGAAAATGTACTTTGTATTAGACTTAAAAAGACAATATACCATTAGAATTCAACAATTCAATTCGGTCATAAGCCATCAAACAAATTTTAAATGACATTATTGAACAACTATCGCTCAGCATTAAACCCCAAAATATACACAGAATTAGTACCACTATGTTTCTGCTTAGATGAGACAGAGATCAAGGCAGGAGAGTGATCTCCCTGACATTGTTAGCAAAAACAATACACACTGTTAGCAACACATAAACAGGCTCAAACCCTTCTCCAATCACAGGAATCATTCGAAACCTCTCCAATACATCCACCCTCTAAATTGTGCATGGGGTACATACTGATACACGTAATCTCAAACTACCAACTAAGTCAAGTGTAAGGCTTTTAGACATACACATGCATACCCTTATCTCACTGTCCAACCTTATGAATTCCCACAGCCAATAGGACCTCTTTATTCTGAATTTCTTATTATTAGTATTCCATTAAAAAAAAAAAAAAAAAAAAAACAGATTTTTGCAAGAATCATCTTTCTTTCTATCTTTTGAAATATGCAGAAACTATGAATGTTATAACAAAATTTTGAGGCACAACTCAAAAAAAAAATTAAAAAAAAAAAGATGACAAAAATGAAAAGTTTATAAGCAAATATGACAGCAAAACAACACCAAATTCACTGAATCTGGTCACTAGCATATAAGTGATCTAACCATGCAAGTACTTTTTCATATCTAAGCAAAAAGAGAGCATGAAAATTATAGAAGAGCATGAAGATTATGCAAACTCTAGAGGTCTCAAATTAAAAGAGTTCAGCTAGAATTCCTCAAAGCAGAAGTTCATTAGAGCAAAAATCAGGCAAGAAACAAGAGCATAAATAATAAAACTAACGAATATTTGGCATTGAAACAGGTTAATGAGTAAATAAAGAGCATTGTATATTGCCTTAGTATCCAAAATTATAGAAATAAACTTGTCATCAAAGTGAGCATTGTATTCTCTAACCAAATCAATGGTTTTCTAATATGAAGCATGGTCACCATGTGACATATTTAATCACACCAATTCATTCCTTCCTCAGCTAGTTTCCATATCATTTCACGACTACTCGTCGAAGGACCAATCGTACAAACAATTTTAGTTTTTCTCCAAGCATTAGATTTTGGTTCATCCAAAAGTAAATCAACAGATTGCAGCACAAATGGACGCTATAAATAAAGTGCCAATTAGTTCAATGATGCAACCAAACCATCCAAAACTCGTAACAAATCACTCATCTCGTAACAAATCTGGTAGCAAAAAACAATGCATTATATTCAAAACAATAACATCAATTCCTCTAATTAAAGACACTTAACTATCATTCATTAAATGCGATATTCTTGTCAAATATGAATTCAAATATCACAATGAATTAATCAATTAAACTGGACAAATAAATAGAAATTATATAAAAACTTACTGGAGAGATAAGGCCATTGGGAGAATCGACACTAATAGCAGGTTAAGTGCTTTAATTTTAACAGATCGAACAGTGAAGGACTCCTTCGATAAAAATCGTTTTGAGCTTCAATTTGACATCAATCTGAGCAGCCAAATCTTGCACAGTAATCACCTCCAACATTGTACACAATACAATCATGCAAACCTATACATCCATGCAACCAAATTTCCATCACTAAGCAAATTAATCTAACATTTACAAACAACAAAAATCCTAGAAATTGAAAAATAAATCAAATTAACAATAAAAAAAGGAAAGTATAAACATACCAATACCCAAGATCTGAAGCAGAGGACTTGAGAAGAGATATACCCGTTACCATCGCCGCCGGTGAAGAAAACGCGCTGCCGTGTATGGTGAAATCAAAAGGAGAAAAGGAGAGCGATCCAGTTTAGGATAAAGGACAGATAGAGATGGCGCCGCAGGGTGGAATGGACGGCGGGACGGCGGAGATGAGAGATACGAGAGAGAATCCAGTTTAGGAGAGAGAGATAGAGAGCGCGAAGAGAGAGAGAACAATCAGAAGGAAAGAGAAAGAAAGAAGAGGGGAAAGAGGGAGAAATAAGAGGGCTGGTTTTTTTTTTGTTTTTTTTTTTTAACAGTAAATTCCCACCGGTTCAAACCGGTACAATTTTATTAATTTGGCACCGGTTTAGTTTAAACCGGTGCCATTTCTATTATACTGAATTACTCCTAATTTTTTTCCCACCGGTTTTTAAGAATCGGTGCTAATAACTCGGTGCCCATTTGTATTTTTCTACTAGTGTTCTATAAACATGAAGAGATTCAGAATAGGGTCTATCAAAGTAATGGCGTGCAAATTCTTTTAAATTAACTACGCTGCCATCTACAATATTTGTGAGATCTTTGTCTCTCAAATTAAAGAAGCGTTCAAAGTCTTTACAATAATATTCATTTATTATAGGGATTACCGCAAGATCTAATGAAGGGAAGCCTAAGATAACACCAAATTCTTCTGGTAAAAGGCTAATTTCATCACACCCTAGTCTAAAACAATGAGTATATGTGTCCCAACATTCTAAGACGGTATGAATAAAATCTGTAATACCCCGTATTTTCATACGTATTTTCCTAATTAATTATTATTTTCTAAAAAGGGTATTTTAGTAATTCAATTTACTATTTAAATCTTGGAGCCAAAATGATATTTGAATTTTGGCGCCAAAAGTATTTTGAAAACTAATCATTATTTTGGATAAGATTTATTATCCATTTATCCAATTTTAAAAACCGGATTATTTATATATTTCGGATATTTTAATTAAGGAAAAATCTATATTTTATTATTATTTTAATAAGTCCGAAAATCCCATTTATTTAGCTAATAATTTCAAATTTTCTTATGTATAAAATCTGATTTTATTAGTTAAATTATTTGGTGAATATTTGGTATTTTATTATTTAATTATTTATTACAATAAATATTATTTACACAATTATTTTTAATTCCTTTAAACTAGCAAAATATATTCCTAAATACTAAATAGGAAGGCCGAAAATATGAGCTTAGGAAAGCTCAATAATTTCGGCCATCCCATAAAGATTTTGGGAAAATATTTTGGTAATTTGTATTCTTAATTATCTCCCATAAATCTCCTATTTTCCATAATTCTAATTCCCCATCTTTTTGATATCCAATTATTATATTTTCTTGCCATTCATTATTCTTAATTATTACCCAAGCAATTCCAATTTCCTTAACATTTTTCATGACATACATACCTTCCATAAATCTTTGCTCACTTCTCCAAGTAATCTCTTAAACCCTAATTACCATAATTCTTCCTACATTTTCCTACCATAATTCATGCTCATACTAGCCTATAAATACCCCTTCATACCTCTCACATTCTTCACGCCAAATTCTCTTCTTTTTCTTCTCCTCAATTTTACACAAATCATCCCGTTCATCTTTGAAGCCAATTTTTGGGCACTTCTGGTCAGTTTTTGGGGTAGTGATGTTTCAAAGAAAGTTGTTCCTATAGAAACATCCTTGAGGTTAGACTCAAAAATCACCTAATTCGGAGCTATATCGAAGGAGTTATAGCCTCTGAAAGTTCTGCCTTTTATTTCCTACGCAAATCCAATTCTTTTCTTCTCCTTTTCTTTTATTCAATTATTATTATTATGGGAGATTAATATAAAATTATTATGAGTAGTTTTAATTATATAAAATCAGATTTTAATAATGTTCATGTTGAATTAATTTAAGAGGTTCATGTACAATTAGTTGGGAGGGTTTAATTTAATTATTTGTGATTATTTGTTAACCTTATATTGATTAAGGTTATATTTATTTGTAGGGTGTTTTTGATCAAGCTACTTGAGAAATCTTTTGAAGTGTTGTTGGCTAAGTGAAGATCAAGGTACGTTAGGTGGCTAGATACCTTAGAAGTGATCGATTTGAATGAAACATGTTTGAATGATTTATGTTGTTTGAATTAAATTGAATTGAATTATGGTTTATGAAATAAAAGTATGTTTAAAAGATTGGTTTTAATAATTAAATTGGAGTATTGATTTTTATAACATGTTTTGATTAATTAATTTATTATTCATGTTTAAAAAGGATTGATTTTGAAAGCAAGTTGGATTTATGGAAAAGGAGTTTGGATTGTTTTCATTAAAGGTTGAATTATTGGATTTAAAAGAGGATTTATTGAATCATGGATTTATTATTATTTATGCTTTATAAGCATGTTGGTAATCCCACTATGCGGATTTGGTTTATTGATAAGGCCTTGGACTTTGCATGACCGTGTCTTTCCTCAAGAATAGCCTTGTAACATAAGGAGACTAGCTTGGGGGGTGTGCACACTTGGGAGAGGAATTGGTTTTAATATGAGGAATTGGTTTTAAAATAATTGGATTTGATTTTATTGATTATTGATATTGGAATTATTGAGAATTGGTTTTAAACCATGAGTTTGGAATTTTTGGATTATTTATTGAAAATTGGTTTTAAAGCATGTTTGCGAATAAATTGAGTTTAATTATCTTGCACTTATCGTACTTAGCATATTTTGCTAACCCGTACTTCTTATTTGTTTTTGTTCGCCCTGTTTACCGTAATGGTAAGCAGTGTTGCTTATTTTCAGGTTGGAGTCAATAAATGATGCATTGGAGTCCCGGGATTGGTTTTCACTAAATTAGGAATTTGGTCTTGTATCTATTTGGAGTACTCATAACATTGGTTACTATTATGGTTATTATTAATAAAGAAGAGTATTGAAGTTTCCGCTGCAAAGTATTGTTATTTTTAGTAAGTTGAGTAGCCTTGCGTAATCACGCGGCGGTAATACGCCTAAGTCTATCTCTACAATATAATTATACGTATTATACTAGTATTTCCGTAGAGGGAGATTTGGGGGTGTTACAAATCTATATCAAGATATACCCCCTTAACACCATAAATACTTCCCATGTGAAAAAGTCATGTTTTTTCTCTCTTTAGCATTTCAAGACCGACACCATTCATGAGTGAAATTGGTAAAACTCTTAGTAACTAAAGACATGATTATATGTTGAGAAACTAAGATTATAGCTAATCTGCTGGAATTATGAAGAATTTCGGCAGATTAGGGGGCTATTTATGCAAAAAATTGACGCAGTTTTACTCTGGAAAGGATTCGGAGTCAACGCACATCAGCGCCAAACGACAACTCTGTCGCCTGGCGACAGCAGCAACGCCTGGCGCCAGCACAAAACGCGTGGCGACATGTGGCGCTGCTGCGTTTTATCAACGAGCTATTCAAACCGCGTTTTTTCTTGCTAAGATTCGAATTCGTACAATGACTTTACGATTTTATCCCTTTCTACAAAAACCCTTACATATTATATTCAAATTTTTCTTTTTGGATTTATTCAGACTTAATTTAATTTTAAGATTTTTGCAAGTCCAATTTATTTTTCATTTTTTCATTTTGGGGGAGAAAGTCGGATACCCTCCATTCAATAATAAAAATGACGGAAATTTTTACGCAAAATTAATTTAATCACAATTCTTTGCACACACACATACGCACATAAAAATGAACAATAATTGCAAAGATAAAATACAGTCGTAATAGATAATAGTATGTATATACAAATATGTCCAATAAATGAGCCAATCATGCAAAGTCCTATACAAGTCAAAATACATAAAACACAGGTACAACTACGGCACTAGAACGCAGATGATGAGGGATGTTCATCATATCAAAGAACTGCGCAGAACGAGGAGTATGCTCCCCACCAGCTCCAGCTCCAGCTCCAGTCTCTCCAGGAGGAGGAAAACTCAGCTCAGGACCCGTCCACCCAAGGTCGCCCTGATGAACCAACAGAGGCTGAGGTTGAGGAGGCTGCTGCGATGACGAGCCGACCTCGTTTATCCCACCACCTCTCGGATCTGAAGTGGCCTCTCCTTGGCCTACCGGCTCAGCACGTGCACCCTCAGATGAAGAGCCCGAGCCCTCCACCGCCTCGGTCCGGGCAGCGTCAGATCGACCACCCCGATCGCCTGAACTAGTGCGGCGACGCCTCGAGCTAGACCTCGCCGGATCTATCCGAACCTCTGGTCTCGTCCGAGTACGAGAAGGAATGGGCTGTCCCTGCAAGATGAAACCAAGTCAGAAGCAATCAAAATAGAAATATAACAATGCAGAAATAAGGAGAAAAGCTACCTCTTGAACAGCGTCGTCGCGACGACACGTAGCCACATTCCACATCCGTACAAGCTGGCTACGGAAGGCGTCTTTGCATCTTGCCATCGTCGTAACCACCTCGTGCGAGGAATGTAAAAAAAAAATCAGTAACAATACAAGACAGACATGGACAAATAGCAAGTAAATAACTCACCCGAGTCTGGTGACGAGGAATCGAGCTCTCCACAAAGCGCTGATCCCCGGGAGCTGGAGGAATCATCTCCTCGATAGGCCCGTATGTCCCCTAGTAGTGGATGGACATACGAGGGGGCACAAACTCAGTAGGCCCAACCTGACAAAAAGCAAATCAAAGTGAATAACATATCACTTGGGGGCTACTTAGCAAAAGATAAAAGGAAAAACATCGTACCACCGCCCCCTCATACAGAACAGGGGCCGGAGCTAACAACGGCAACAGCTCCTCCTCGTAGCACCGCCCGGAGACCGCATGAGATCGCCAAGGGGTACTAGAAGGCGACCTCTCGGACATGCTGAGCAGCCTCACGTCATTGAACATGTGTCGTGGCAGAGAAGTAGGGACGACAAAAATATCCGAGGAGTGCTGAATAACAACTCTCTCTCCTAGGTACGCCGCCGCCCCGTACGTCCCTAAGAAGTAGCGTCGCTCCGCAGTGTACTGTGCAGCCAGCCTAGGGATGACCAAACCGCCCCATGGCCGGTATAGCACCTCAGGCTCATACAAAGAATACGTATGAGATAAAGATCTACTAAAAAGCAATACAAAAATGTTATCTATGCAAAAGATCATACTGAGAGGATCTGCTCTTGAACATGGGCAGTAGTCGCCTGGATGTAGCGGTCTCCCCAG